CTACTTCCTTCTTCCTCTCCACTTTCTACTTTCCTATTACCTATTCCTACTATCGTATTCTAATTACCTCCCCATTACCCAGGCAAAGACAATCAACCAATAAAATACATACACACACACACACACATACACACACACACACAACACACGTAGTACTTAAGAACTAGGATTTATAGTTAAAACAGAGATGGTCTGAAGACTGCCTTCACTGGTTACTATGATTGCTCTGTGACCTTACTTAGGTTCTCAAAGCCTCAGTTTCTTCATCAGTAGAACAGAGACAATATATTTTCCTGTAAGGGTTATCCTAAGAATTAAATTATGTGAGATCAGTATATAAAGTGTAATCACACTGCCTGACACAATAAACTAAATAAAAAGAACCACCAGAAAGTCTGAGAAGTGAACAAGTATACAGACAGATGTAAACAAATCAGAAAGATCTGAGAATTAATAAACTGCAATATTTTACACTAAGTTGACACTATAAGAGCTCACAAAGTATTCCACAGTGTTTTGCAATGTTTATTTACTATAGGCAGAGAAAAAACAAATCAACAAAGCACCACTACCATCACCACCACCATCAACAAAAACCAAAGAAAAAAATATGAAAACTTACATCTTGATTTGTAACCGAAAAGAAGATTTAAAAATCCTTAACTTCAGCTCATAGCCTCTTCATGATCTAACCCCAACCTATTTTTTAGCCTCATCTCACTTTTATGTCTCCATGCAGTCAACACTGTAACTTGCAATACAGAACCTAATTGCACACTTCAAACTTGAGTCAAACAACTCCTTCAACCCAGTTACCATTCTTACCCCATCCCTTTTCCTACCCACTGAAACCCTATTAGTCATTCTGTCCCAAGATGCCCTCCCAGATCCTCCCTAGCAGAAGTCATCACATCCACCTCTCAGTTCCCTGTTGCTTAAACTTACGTTTAGAGCACCTACTTCATGCTAATGAAGTTTTCCTGGAGGCTTCTTTCTCAGTGTCATTCAAGGGAGACATTAATGGTCAGCTGAATACAGACCACAAAATGTGATAAAATGAAATAACACCTCTTAACATACAGGAATATCCTTCTTTAGGGTAAAAAAATATTTCTATCATCTTTCTATGTTTTAACCACAGCTTCACTGCCCTTCCCATTACAATAAAGCAGTTTAATGGCTAGTAGCACAAATGTACAACTTTTTAGCTTATATTTTCTAAATATCCAAAAATATCCATTATAACAATACTGACACTTCATGAGAGAACATTTTATGCCTTACTTATCAAGTGGCCTAACAGCCCACTCTAATCTCCATTAGGCAAATAAAATATTCAATCTTTTTTTGGTAATCATTAAAAGAAAGCAGTTCAGGGGCGCCTGGGTGGCTCAGTTGGTTGAGTGTCCAACTTCGGCTCAGGTCATGATCTCACGGTTCGTGGGTTCAAGCCCCGAGTCAGGCTCAGAGCCTGGAGTCTGCTTCGGATTCTGTGTCTCCCCCTCTCTCTGCCCCTCCCCCATTCATGCTCTGTCTCTGTCTCAAAAATAAATAAACATTAAAAAAAATTTAAAAGAAAGCAGTTCAAAATAAATTTTGTTTATATAATGATTGTTCCAAAACAAGATTTGACTAATGTTATTTTGCAAGTCATACGAAAATCAATCTCATTATTTCATACCACACATACTATATACAGATTTACTTAATTGACTTTTGCAAATATCAACTCTTATTTCCCACATATGCAAAAATGGTTGGAAAACTGATTCACAATCAAGAGTTTGATTTGTAACCAGGCTAGACAGCTAGGTAAACATGACTTCAAATACTTAATTGCACAAACTTACTTCAGATTACAGCACTGTAAATTAGAAAGTCACAATTCTAGTTCATGCAGATTCTTAGTTTTGCTACTACATAACAGTTCTACCTTAGGCAAATTACTTAACCTCTCTAAATTCTAAGTATCACATATACAAAATGACCCTGGGTTAGATAAAATTTCACATACATTCTTGATCATAAAAATCACCCACAACACCTGTTTAAAAATACATATCCCAAATCCTCTTCTAAACGTCCTAATTTCGCAGTTCTGACAAGAGGACTGGAGAACTTAGTCAAAGTTCCCAGGTACTCATGTTCCTCATCATTGGGAAGTTTTATACATATACTGGTTTCTGATTTCTAACATTCTTTCTGGCTATAAAATTCTGTGAATTTAAGATTTTATGACACTGATCAAATCCCCCAGCCCAACCTGACTGAATGCAATTCACATGCAAATTCATTTTGCTATGGAAGAAAGTTCAAAATCTTCTCTGTACTCTTAAGTTGTCTTTTTCAGCATTTGGCTCCATTTGTTATAATCCCTCAATTTTCACATTATCCTAAATACCAGTATTTATTTTGGCAAATAATTTGACAGATAACATGATTTGGGCTACAATACTTTTGGTTGAAGGATATTCCCCTATGATTTTAGTGTATACAACTCCTCCTCTGGTAACCATTCAGTCATACACTTAATGCTGATTCAAACACACATTAAGGTCAGTTCTCAGAACAGTATGCATTCTAACACTGTGTATATTCTTTTCATTTGTGTCTTACAATATTTATAACATTCAACAGGCAAATCATAACTACAATCCCTTCTAACAATCCTACAGATGATGATTATGTGCTGAATGAATTTTAATACACTATAATTATTAACTGGCTTTAAAGCAGTTCTGAAATACTTTCCCATTGATGTAAATATGGAAGAAAACACTTTAAAGGTTATACTCTCAAAACAGGTCTATAAAAGCACTGTGATAAAGAAAAAAAACAAAACATGTTCTCCAACATGTGTTCTCATTTTTCAAAAAAAAAAAAAAAGGCATTTTTCTCAATCTTCACCTACCCAAAATTAATAAAAACTGCTTAGTCAAACTTGCCTTCTAGTTACGTTGATACTTTTGCCACCACCACGCAACTCTTTTCACAAAAGTCTGCAAAGCAACATACAGCGATAAAAAGACCCCAAAAGCACTAAGATAATTTGGAGATGAAAGTGGGGGGCAGAACTGGCAGTCAATACACCCAGTGCAATTAAACACACCATTTTTCATTATACTTCCCAAAAGGCAGGACAAAGAAGGAAAACTGAAACTTACTGCTCTCATCACTCTAAAACAAAACAAAACAGTTTCTTAAAGAACAGTCTTTAACAGTACTCAGAGACGTTTTCTCACATACATTTTAGAAAAATGGTAATATAATATTACACTGTCATCAATCAAAATTTCACAGCACCGGAGAAGCTTTAAATCAAATTGTGAGAAAAGCTGAAAGTATACACCTAAAACACAGGTCAATAAAGGTGACACTGTAAAGAGTCAAGATGATGTAGTCATATATGAAGTGTCCTAAAAACCCACGGAGAGAAGTTAAAAGCAGACAAACAGCAATTCTGTATCACTTAAGTCACATTCCTTAAACACTATTTCCTGCAATCAAATTTAAATGTGTTCATAGCTATCACCAGGATCAATATAGTGTGAAATAAACCTGATGGTAATGCAACTGGCAGTCTTCCGAACCCCTCATTTTTTAATAGATTGTACAAATACCTTCATATTTTATCTTCACATGCACAAACTGCACTAAGAAAATAATGTAGAAAATGTTAAGTTTGTTTCTTTCTCATTAAAGAGGACCTGAAATACAGAATCTATCCTAAGGACAACTAAGTTACCTGATAGATCAAATGGTGTCTGAAAGGGCAGCTACTAAGCAAACACAGATTCACAAAGTCATTGATGTGCTTTAAAATGATCTACTTGGCCTTGAAATAATGGAAGCGGAAACAATCATAGCAGGAGCATCCAATCCGTGCAGTGATTCTGGAGAGGTCAAACGTGAGGTACTGCGAGGACACTAAGTGGAATTCTGCTCACCCCTAGTGCTGGCAAACCATTCACATATGTGATATGGACACAAAGCACAATATAAAAATCAGAGGGTAACCCATGAGGTGAATGTAGAGTCATCAATGCAAGTTGAAAATCTCATATCAGCTAATAAACATTCTTAGTTATCCTTAATAATTCTATTATGAATCCATAAATTTATTAACTAAATTTTTCTTAGGACATTATTCGCTATTCCTCTTAAGTAACAAAACAGTTTTGTTTTTTTTTTAAAGAAGGAAAATAGGCAGAAAGTAGGTCACCACCTCATTTAGTACTAGATTTGGTAAACTAATTTTTGTTCATCCTTCTTCAACTTCATAATTTCATATATTTCTAAATATATTCTTCTACATATATCCCTCCCTTTCTATTAGTCTCATGTAAGAGCATGATTTAATCAAATGTGTTTTTCCTTCTAATACCCTGCTTGATGGTGCTCAGCGTTTTGTGAACTTAGGCGAAAGTAGCACACCAAACTGAAGCAACATACAATGAACCTAAACTTTGAATTTGTCTCCAGACACTCATGACAAAGCCCCTGCATGCTTGTCCCAGGCCAGCTTAGAGAGCGTCATTCTGTATGTTGTCCACAAGAATGTATTACTAGTCATTAAATAAACTAAAATCTATATGATATGCAGAAATTCACCAAGAGGTCATTCAAGCATGCAAATGAACACTCACAAATCTCATCTCTTTCCTAACAAGAATAAAATCAAGGACACATTTTCTATCTCCTCTAAATAGTCTCTATGATGGGAAAATTAAATTTTTAAATTACATAAAAATCACTTTAAAGTAGCTGGAAAGAATTTAATTGTTTCTCCTGGTTATGAGAATGGTACCAAACATTCCAAAATAGTTTATTAAAATCTTCCTTCATTTGGAAACGAGGTTTATAAGAAAATGTTAAGTTTTTAAACTCTAGGCAGAGAGGACAATCCAATCTCAAAACATAATTTCCTCCATTTTACAATACAATTCACACTCAAAAGTATACACTTCAAACTAAGTAACCTTGGGTATACAAAGACTCACCATCTGTATGGGTTTCTTGTGCAGATCTCGTTCAGTTACCAGTTTTTCTTGGTCAGTTACATAAAGACCTTTCTGCGCTAAAGCCTGGATTACAGCATCATGGCCCAGAAGGGGTTTCGCAGCATCACTCTTGAGAATGAGACTCCCAGCACGACAGTATAGTTCAGCCGAAAGAAGTAAATTAACCACGGGTGGTTTGATGTGTTCCTGGTCATACTGATCTGTGTAAAATGGTTCTCGAAGTTCCTCTGGCACATTTTCTATAAAGATTAAGGGGAGGGGGGGGAAATTCTTACAATATGTTTATAAAGAAACACAATTTAATAATTATTATGTCACAGAAGATTCCTTCCAAAAATAACAATACCCTTTAACTGAAAAGGTAATTTATTAGAGCTTGGCAGCTAATCTGGAATGGAAAAGAGAAATTTGCTTTACAGAAAATATTGTTCCGAGTATACTCTAAAACAAGATTACAAAGCAAAGAAAAAGTTTTCTAAGTCTAATGACTCTGGGGAAAGTATTCCCACATGCACACTCAAATCCATAGAATGTGATAAAAGATTCCTAAAAAGTAATTTCAGCGAATACTCTCACATACAAGCAGTCAACCAGAAAACGCACTCTAACGGCTATTACAGGGGAAGCTAGGCCTTGCCAACTGACAGCATAAAATCACTTAACTGAAGTTGTATAGCTAATCACTTGTAAAGCAGAAGCTGCCTAACTTATTCTCTCCCTCTATCTCAGGCTGTCTGGTCTCTCACCCTTCTTGCTTAGCCTGATGAATCTATTGAGGGGCAGTTACAGCTATAGTTTAAGGGAGAACTACTCTCAAAAATACCTTAAACTAAGGGTGCCTGAGTGGCTCAGTTGGTCAAGCGTCCAACTTCGACTCAGGTCATGATCTCATAGCTTGTGGGTTTGAGCCCTGCATTGGGCTCTGTGCTAACAGCTCAGAGACTGTAGCTGCTTCAGATTCTGTGTCTCCCTCTCTCTGCCCATCCCTGGCTCATGCTCTGTCTCCTTCTCTCTCAAAAATAAATTTTTAAACGTTAAAAAAACACTTTTTTTTAAATCCCTTAACCTAGAGGCACCTAGGTGACTCAGTCAGTTAAGTGTCCAACTCTGGACTTCAGCTCAGGTCATGATCTCACAGTTCACAAATTCGAGCCCCACGTCAGCTTCTGCACTGGCAGGCAGTGTGGAGTCTGCTTGGGATTCTCTCTCCCTTCGCTTTGCCCTTCTCCCCACCCCCCTGCCCAACTCTCAAAAATAAACAAACTTTTTTTTTTTTTAATCCCTTAACCTAGTAAATCACTGTTCTCTCCGCCTTACCCCAAAAATCCCTCCTGGACACCCAACTAACACATTCAGTGGAGACACAGAAAGGAGAGTCTACAAATGGGACATGAGAAGGAAACCAAATTCGTCTGAGTTTTTTTTCTGCTAGCCATTTCCCTTGAAGAATGTCAAGTCCCACTCTCCCAACATCTACTTCTAAATCAACCTCAGGAGCTGCTTTTGCATCTGATGGCAGCCAGATCACTAAAAAGGCAAGACAAACAAAGCACTTCTTACTGTTTAACAAGGTATCTTGCCTTCCTCTTCCCACTCCTTACCTGTGAGCTGTGCTCTTAATCAAAGCCAACACAAGAATGAGGTTTGTCTTCCAAAAGTAAAGGCAGGCATCTAAGTTAAAAGTTAACATGGAGCTACAATCATAGAACCTGATAGCTCTGGCTAGTCTGGCATGACACTTAGCCATTTCCTTGCCTGCCTTCTCTTTGAAAAGTGAGGTTTTGAGGCCAACCATCCCCCATCACTGATTTTAGGAGTCTTCTGAATAGGCAGCTTTAATATAAGCTCAAAATAAGCCATAGTACTAATCAAAGTGAACGTTTTTTAAATGTATTTACAAAGTATTAGTATACTTCTTAGCAATTTTCATCCTAAAGTTTTTGAAGCGTTCCTATTATTTAGAAAAATATTTTCATCATGGGGTGCCTGAGTGGCTCAATCAGTAGAGCATATGACTCTTGGTTTCAACTCAGGTCATAATACCAGGGTCATGGGATTGAGCCCCTCATTGGGCTCCACACTGAGCATGGAGCCTGCTTGAGGTTCTCTCTCCCTCCCTCCCTCCCTCTCTCTCTCCCTTCCCCTCTGCCCCTCTACCCTGCTCGTACTCTCTCTCTCTCTAAAATAAAGAAAAGAAGAAGAAAAATATTTTCATCAAATATTATAGTAATGATTGCATGTTCATTTTATATACCAGCATGGTTCTGAGGAAATCCAAGGAATTAGAAATAATCCGTACCTTCAAGAAGCCAATAATGTACAAAAAGACTAGACAGACAAATAAAGTTAAGCAATTCAGAAACAATGAATGATTGAGCACCAACTGAAAGAAACTAAGTGCTAAATGAACAATTGTTCTAAATGAACAATTAAGTGCTTAAAGTTCAAAGCAGGAAGCATCATACTGGGCTGACTTGACTTCATCTTAAAGAAATAGGATAGGAAAAATAGGCAGAATTTGCTTAGTCAAAAAACAAAAGTCTATCTAAACAAAGGGAAGAGCAAGGAGAGAGTGGAAGGAAGGAAGGAAGGAAGGAAGGAAGGAAGGAA